TTAATTCAGTGCAATAATGATAAAACCATGTGGTTGAAACACGAAAAGAAAGAGTTTCTAGTGTGGACATATAAGTATAAAAAGGGTGATAAAGTGTGGATACACCTACCCAAAGAAGAAGAAGTAACAAAAGGTGTAATTGATCAATTGGGGAAACATCCCAACACTTATTTTTGTTTAACTGAAGAAAATCAAACAATATTAGTACACCAAAGTTGGCTAACCTCACGAAGCTAGGCCTCACAAGGACCTAAGCAATCATTTAATTTTGTTACAGGTGTCAAGGATTGAAGTGGCAACAGTGGGAGATCAAGGATGAAAATGATCCCAGAGATGAAAACTGGATGTGGCTAACCAATGCAACATTATGCAAACCAGTACCTAGACCACCCAACGTGATTCTGGGATATAATGCTGATGTATGGAATCTCACAATACCAGGTTATTCCCTTAAATGTAATATTCCTTGGGAAGGACCATGGAACCCCTCCAAATTATTAAATCCTCGTGATATAATTAATGGACCATATCCATATGGCATTAAATTAACAGAAGCAGGGATAAATGAAACTGAGTATTATCCAACACCATGGGGTTTTGTGAGAACACACCCAGAAAAAGGTGTATTTGGGGTAAAATTAACTATTATACCAGTAGGGTTATTTGAAAATGCTACAGTAGACCCCTATGGTATCATCCAATGTAAGTGGAATAAACTTTTCTGGAAACCTAACACTGTCCAGAACAGTGGCCGGCTTACTACTAGCACTTGGTGTCGGACTATAGTACATACTAGAAAAGGGATATTACCTTATCTCTTAATTATAAGGGATCCACCGCACCAAGAACAAAGCACAATAGCCTGGCATTTAAAATTTCCTGAATATTCCCGTACTGCCATGCGCATTACATATAACATTAACTGCACGCAACCACAAAGAAAGCGTAGGTCAGTCTGGACAGACTGGGCACAGCAAAATCAAGATAAAGAATGGGAAGAAACAGTAAAACCTGAATTCATGTCACTTTTGGGATTTGCCACTACACATGTAACCATTACAAAAAACATTACACAAAGAATGCAAAATTTCATAACATTAACTGAACAGAATGAAAATATCACTAATTCTAACATGAGGAAAATCCAAGCTAGATTACAGTTCATTACCTGTACACAATTTCATGAATCCAGCACCTTTGAACAACTTATTGTAACAAATTTAAGGAAGAAATTCACAGATGCTGGACATATACCTTATGTAGAATGTCATAGTCAAATAATTATGCTATTTAGTCATGAAAATCAGGGAAGTGTACAATGGCTTTGTTCAGTGAACCCACTAATGGGTTGGACAGTACATACCCGCATTGGAGGAAAACATACAGGTACATTACCCACCATGCGGTGTACCAAGCATAATTGCACACAAGTAAACACCAACCAAGTAAAATTAAATGATAAATGTTCTGAATTGGAAGCATGGAATCAGACCCATATTGTGCAATGTACTGATTGCAAATGCAAAATCTACACTAAAACTGTTCAAGTGAACATATTAAACTATGATTATGCTTTTGACTTAACACCCCAAGATGAAGCAACCCAGTATTATGAAATAGCAGAAATGGGATATGATATTCCTCAACTCCAGCCCTGTAAGCAAGAGGGTCAGTTCTGGAGAGATACAGGGGAAATAATGGAAATAAAATATAATATCCCTCAAAACTCACCCTGTGAGCCTGGAGCTCAGTTATGGAGAGACACATTTGCAAGGAAATGTGTGTGCATAATAGAGCCAAAAATTAATAATCTACACTCCAGTATGGAGGTAGTACTTTGGTCCAAAACAGGTATCCCGTGGATCGCTGCAGATCATTGGAGCACGACTGAGGAGAATAAGGTGCATTCCCAAGTATCTACGTGGGACGTTGACTTGCAGGGATTAAATTTGACTCATATATCGTTTAACTTGGAAACTGGACAATTAGTGATGTTGTCAAAGGACTATGGAGAACACATTACTTACTTGAAATTACTTAACGCCAGCAAGATCCTCAATGCACCATCAGCTTCGGTGTTAGAAGGACTAGCCACGATTGGAAATGCAGTGGGGAATGGTGTTAAATCTACTATACATGAAATAGGATCGATAGGACAACAACTATGGAACACTATAAAGACTGTATTTTCGGGAAAATGGGTGATATATGTTATAATAAGCATCATAGGATTGTTTGGGTTAATCATTTTGGGAAAATTAATTTTGTGTATGTTGTCATGGAATCATCATAATAAGTTTGTAAGGCTTAGTAATGAAATATAATTGTAATCAAACTGCCTAATGGGCACGGGGGGATGTCATATTGAATGAAATAGTTTGAATGTTTGTAAAGGTTGCCCATTAGCCAGTTTCAGGAAGAAGATAGGATCTATCTCCTTATCTAGCTCATTGTTTTGGAGCTACGTGCGAAATGTCCTGACTTCGCCTAAAACCTTAATCTAAATTGTACCTTTAGAAGTTTTTTACAAAGAAAGTAAATGTCCTAAATTCCGAGACATCAAAGCCTAAGGCCTTTTAACCAAATTGCTAAGAAAAAGGTATTTGCAGTGATATGGAAGTCCCCCCAAGAGTAATTTAAAATGCTCAACAAAGGTAATTTCAAAAAAATCTGTTGAGTAATGTCTCTAGTGGGTTATGGAATAGAGAAAATCCCACACAATTTACTGATTCGTTTTGATGCGCTGGCTGGGGGAGTAGTTAGCTGATTGCACGATTTCACAATGATTACACACTTAATTTATACAACACAATTTTATTTTAAAACTCTTTGCTACGTATATAACACTGCTTAGCTTTAAGAAACACCACAAACATTAAAAACACAATAATTACATATATCAGAAACAATGCTCCGAATGCACTTCCTTCCCAAACAATGCTATAAGAATTAGTGTTACAAAAACAACTACAATTACAACTAAAAGTTAAATTTGAATCAATACTGTTATTTTTCATAATATACTTACAATCCTAGAATTCCGAGAAGCCAAATACCAAAATATGGTTTCATTCCTCAGTAGTACGATTTAATGGGTTGGCCTCAGTAGTACGGTTCAATAGGCTGGCCTCAGCAATACGATTCAATGAGCTGGGCTCACCAGTGATAGGACTACGTCCCCTTCCTTCAGTCCCTTTCGGGCGCTCCGCGGCTTCAGCGTGAACTAAGAGATTCGTGTTCACGGAGAGGCTTGATTAGGCGATCAATCTAATCTGACCTTATACTTGCGATTCTTCCTTCGTTGTTCTGCAAGTGAAGTCACCTCCAAATTGGGACAGTAAGTTACAGGTTTTTATTGAGTGAGCTGCCGTCATTGGGCTCCTCCTACTCAATTCATCATAACTCCCAAATTTGGGCTCGGATCTTAATCAACAGAAATTACCTTTGTTGAGCATTTTTTAAATTATTCTTGGGGAGACTTCCATATCACTGTAAATACTTTTTTCTTTTTACCAGTCTGGTTAAAAGGCCTTAGGCTTTGATGTCTTGGAATTTAGGACATTTGCTTTCTTTGTAAAAAACTTCTAAAGGTACAATTTAGATTAAGGTTTTAGGCGAAGTCAGGACATTTCGCACGTAGCTCCAAAACAATGAGCTAGATAAGGAGATAGATCCTATCTTCTTCCTGAAACTGGCTAATGGGCAATCTTTACAAACATTCAAACTATTTCATTCAATATGACAGGAACCAAGGAACCACTCATTTTTCTTGAGACAGACAATGTATACGAGTATGGAAGTAGAAGGAAGTGATCTCTCACCTTCTGTTAGTTTGCACCATGACGTACTATGCATGGTGGTTTAGTTCCTGCTTCCTCAGTATGTTGTTCCTGGTTGTCCGATGCCTTCACTGCTGTGCATATATGACTAAATCTTTAGGCTCGTGTTGCCCCTTTGCAGCAGTGCATCCTGACAGGTGGTCAGAGATGGAAAAGCACTTCACTGATCTGCCCTTAAAGCACATTGCCTTTATACAGAGGCACGGTAAAAACTGCAGTGCTCCACTCTGCCCTGCCAAGCTACCTAAAAGGGGTTATGCTGATTTAATCTTTATGCAAACCCCTGTTGCTAGCCTGTTCTAGAGACATTTCTGTGCTAGAGGGGGAGAAGCCAGTGACAGATATGCATACACTGGATCAAATGTGCTCCAACCAAGCTTTAAAGTAAGCATACTTTTTTTTTTTTACAATGAAAATTAACTTTCAGTCTGAGACACTGAATCAGGGAAGGGAGTTGAGGATGGGGGGAGGCTGCATGGATCGCTAAGCAACCTTCCTGGAGCTCGAGAGCCCTTTTCCAGTGTAACATTTTGGAGCAGCATCTGCTTTATTCCTAGCTCTTCACATGACTGAGTTAGAAAGAACCGGTGAAGGCACCATCTCTAAAGGACAGCGCATAGACCTGCGTGCTAGCAGGCCTTTAGTTATGTCTCTGCACTTTTTAAAAAGTTAAGGGTAATATCACTTAAAAACACCACAGTGAAAATATACATGTCCCAGCACAATATATCATTTGCAAGTATAGCATGCACCCTTCCTACAGGTTTCCAGTGGCTGAGTGATTTGGGAGCATGCGTGGCACCTAGAGAGACCCTGATCTCACTGGTGGGTGTCACTCCATTGGCTTCAGTGGAGTTACTTCTGATTTATAGCAGTGAGATCTGAATCAAGACCAACATGCACACATGCCATAATAAAGACTTTAAGAGCCAAACCCTCAAGCTGCTGTTAAATGGTGTAGTTCCCCCGAGGTCAACGACACGCTGTCATTTTACACCCTGGATACTATGGATTTCCCCCCAAATCTGTGCCTATAGTAATATTATATGGTTGCTTCCCCTCTTAAGTGCAAGTGAGCTCCAGATGGCATGTTGGCCATGTATTTCGCAGCCATCACAGACCATTTTATGTATTTAATTCCTTTCTTTTATGTCTTCTCAGTGTTGGAGCCCTTGTTGGACTGTCAATAGCAGCAGTGGTCCTGCTTGCTTTTATCATCACAGTGTGCGTTCTCTGTTATTTGTTCATCAGTACAAAGCCACGCAGCAAGCTGGATACTGGTTTAAGCTTACGGACGACAGGTAAGATCAGCTTCATTACGTCGGCATTGACAGATTATCTCCTGTAGAGATAAACAGTTATTCCATCACTGAATTGGCCAAGGCATTCCTTTCGGAGGGTGGTTATTAATGCTCCTAGATCAAGGGCGGGCAATTATTTTGGGCAGAGGGCCGCTTACTGAGTTTTGGCAAGCCATCGAGGGCCACATGGCAGGCAGCCAGGGGCAGATGAATATTAATTTTCTAATTTTTTAGGGGCCCCACGGGCCGGATAGAATGGGTTGGTGGGCCGCATCCGACCCGTGGGCCACATTTTGCCCACCCCTGTCCTAGATGAAGTCGCACGACTCTGGTGGTATCCCATGTTTTGAATGAGATTTACATCAAAACTCAACATCACCTCTTTTGTCCATAATGAAGGAGTCATAACATGAATGGTTTGAGATTGTAGAACAACAGATGGGTACAACAGATAAATCCTCATTGCAGAAAGAGGCCTCGTGTGTTTAGAAGTGAGGCAGGATTTGATCAGGATTTTCTGGGCATGTCAATAGAGATGTAAAGCCTTTACACGAGTGGCAGAAGTCTTGAGAGAGGGTATACATGCAGCTCCCAGTGAAAACCCCAGGTGATCACAGGTTTTCCCTGTGATATGTGTCTTCAAGTATCTCTTCTTCGAGGCGCGGGAGTTATTGCTGTGCTTCTAGCAGCTCCCTGCCGCCGTGCACAAATTGTGTTTCAGAACCCAGCAGAACGAGCTGTTTGCACGGTGTTTCTCAACCCGTGGGTTGCAACCCAAAAGTGGGTTGCGGGAATGTATGAAAGGGTCGCGAACAAACTTTAAAAATGGATCAAAACACTTTAAAAAGGGATTCTTCTTTAAAGGGGAAAAATGTGGGAACCTGGGTTTTCCCTTGCAGGCTGGCAGAGCTCCAGTCTGTAAGGGCTGCTCCCCCTACCCCATACACTGCAGGTGCCAGGGCCGGGGACAGTGGGCCGGGAGCGAGGGGCACCAGCAGGGCCAGGGCGCTGTTTTCTATTTAAACTATTTCCTGGGCCAGGACTGGCCCTTGATGCTTATACAAGGGTCCTGTACAAAAAAGATTGAGAACCGCTGGTTTAGCAGACCACCGCTGGAAGAGCGCACCCCCCTGGCACTGTAACACTTTCACGTGTATTTGTGCGAAAGGAATCTGTGCCTGCAGGCAGGTGCCATCGTCAAAGAGCTGAGCTTAAAAAAGCAGCTCTTATTGATTTTACTAAAGAAGACTCCCTTGGCAACCCATTGCAATAGGGATTTTATAGGTGTTATCAGAGTGTCGGTACACATGTACATGAGCCAGAACAACGCAGAATTGGACCAGCCAGCAAAGATCACCCTTGCCTGTCTCTAAAGAGAGGCAAGAGGCATCTCTTTCTTCAGGACTTCCCAAATGTTGAAACCTAATTTTTGTACCTGCTCAGTAATGCTTTTCCCAAAACAGGAATATGGTGTTTGGTCTCTTGCAAGGAGGTCTTGAGTGTATTTACCTGTGCTTTGTAAATGGAACTGGTTGAAAAAATAGAAAACATTTCATGAAAAATATAACAGTTTTTTTTGGGAAGATCTGCAAGTTCTCATATCAAAATATTTGACTGGATGTGCTTGGGAGGCCCGCAGTACCATGGCAAAAGGATCAATTCCTGCAGTGACCTATTAGCAAATATCAGACTAACCACATCAAAAATGTTACGTGAACTTGTGTCCTGTTTCCTACCAACATACACGCCCGTGATTTCTGTTTTAGACCAGCATTTGCTCCCCTGATTTCATACTCCAGAGAGCATGCCTGTATTCCTGAAAACAGTTTACAGATTAGTTGGGATATGCAAAAACCCTCCTTGGGCATGTGGGACGAAGAAGGGGACAGAGGGGAAAGTCACGTATTCAGTCACTTGTTCCTAACCTGCAAATTGAAACGTTGACATCTACCTGATGGAGTGAGAAAGCTGAAATAAAGCTTTAGGTGGGCTGCCCAAAGCTGCCCAGACAAGTGTTTGAGGAGAATATAAATGTACCTTGGGAACTTTTACAACATGGCTATAACCCGCGTGGCGTTTCTGTACCGGCTGTATTTCATATTGCTTCCAGGTTGTGTTGTTTTGTACTTAGATGGGTTTTATTTTTTTGTCTTTTCTCCCTTTCTGTTTTTGCCTTGCTGCTTTTATTTCGGATCTGGGGCTGCTCCGAGTGGCGGTTATTCCACATTTCAATACTGATTACTTTACAGTCTGGTAAAATGGCCTGTGTTGAAATCCAAAGCCAACTTTGCAGCTAGGGAGGAGAGATGTTTGAAAAAGTTGAGACATATCATTGACAAGCTAGAAAGCTTCCCTCCAGCGTATCTGGGCTTCTCTGGGCCTGAAGCCAAGCAAGATCAGCCTCTGACAAGATTGCTAGATAGCTTGTCTCGGATGAAAGGAGCAGTAAGGACAGCCTCTCTCCCGGCATCTCAACTCTTCCCATCCTTATCACAGCAAAATCAGATCCATGGAATAAAAAAACCCAACTGACTTTGAGAAACTACAGGTGAGTTTGAGGTTCAGATCACACTGAGTTTTAGTTATGAACTCAGCTCATTTCCATTTTTCCTGAGCTCCTTCAGTCATGCTTTCATATATCTGCATCACCCACGGGATGTGAGCAGCGCTCTTGTTTCTGCAGTTGGTAGAAAAATGCTAGCTTATAAAAAGGACTATTTTTTCTTCTGGTACATTCAGGAGGTATGGGCCCAGTCACACTTTCAGATTTCAGTAGACAAGCAGTTATTTATTGTATGTCTCTGCTGCTGTGTTAGCTAAGAAACTTGTCATTCTTCTGTGAACTCGCTGACAGTCCCTTGGAAAATAAAATGTGGGAATTACTGAATCGTTACAAAAATCATTCCAAGATTGGTTGTAAATCAGACGACAAACAGAAAAACCTTGTAAATACGGCCCATAATCAACTACCAAGCTCTGCAGAGAGCTAGGGCAGCTGGAATCTGCCCCTTTATTTAATATTGAATGACTGGCTTAGCCTATTTAAGTAGAGATACTAAATAAAGTTCCCCAGGATTATCAAGTACTGTTAAATGCAAAAAAGAGTTAGTGCATTAATCCACGATCAAGATTTTAGGGCACCCAGCCCAATTCCACTCTCCCTTAGGCTGATGTCAGTCCGGAGGGATTACTTTGGAGTTAGTGGAGTCATAGTGATGGAAACGATCTCTTATTGGTATTGCTGCGCTCCTGCCTCCAGACCGCTCTGAATGAGGCATCGTGCAAACACAAAGCAGAGGGACAGCTCCTGGCCCAGAGCGCTTTCTCCCCACAGATCTGAATCCGGCCCAGGATTTATGAAAAAACAGCAACTTTTGCTCTCTATTTCCCTATCACTGCTTTTTCTTTTGCAGCCTACAGTTCTGGATCTTAGTTTCCTATTTGCCTGGCGTTCATACTCTGCTTCAAATACTGACATGACCTTCTGGGTCATCATCATCAAGTCCAGCCCCCTGCGACAGCAGCCAATCACCTAATAAATATTTGGCCAAAAGAGCCTATGGGAACATCTGCACCGGACCCTCCCTTTGGTTCCCAAGGATTCAGCCCATGAGTTAATCCTCTGTCTTAGCGACTTTAGATGCTCCATTCCCAGTGTCTGAGTGCCCTGCAGCCTTTCCTCACAACTCTCCTCGAGGTAGGGAAGTGCTAGCCGCGTCCATTTTACAGATGGAGAGCTATGGCCCTGAAGGAAGGCCATATTTTAGAAAAATATGAATGTACCTAAGGATACAGATGGGCATCTCCTGGGAGTTTAAAAGCATCGCTGCCTGGAGAAGGGTGATTGCACCTGAAAGCTTGCAAAGAACTTTCTTCCAACTACTCGATAAAATAAAAGATATCACATCTACCTAAAGACCTTGCCTGCCTTTGTCCTTAGACCAACACAGCTACAACCAACAACCCTAAAAGCACCTAGAGCACCCAATTCCCATTGATTTCAATACCTTTATATGTCTGGCCCTATGACACTTCCCAACTAGAAGCCTGTTACACACCAGGAAATTGTACCCTGTGCTCCCAAGTCCCAGGCCAGTGGCCCTGGATCTTCCTTTCTTTTCAAGTAGTCCGGCTGACTCTTTGGTCTGAGCAATAATACCTCTGTAAGAAGCTGTGCCTCTCTCTGCTGTTATGTATGGCTTCATTTCCCCTTGCCTGTGTCCTTGTCTTCCTTGTCCATAGGGCAGCTTAGCCCTGCAGCCAAAGAGGTCTTCTCCTCTCTGGGCAAAAGAAGGACCCAAACCTTTCCAACCCAGAGAGTTACTCTGAACAGTCTCTTCGCCCTGGCAGGGGATGCTTGAAGGGAATTCAGTTGCATGCTATGTTGCCTTTGAAACCCTGAACTACCCCCATGCACAATTAGCCCAAATTAGCAATGCACAATTAACACAAATGCAGACCCAGGGAGTCAGCAGACCCTGTGTGTGCAGCGATGGCGGGATGGCAAGTGCTGCAGCAGTGGAGGGGGAAGGATGCTAAGCAGCTTGAGTGAGCAATGGGCAGGGAGGAGAGGCACCAGGCAGGTGGATGGGCAGGAAGAAGGGGTATGGTGCAGCGCGGCTGCTGTGCTGCCCTGTAGGAAGGTGCAGGATAGGCTTCCCGCTCCTGGTCAGCGGGTGGGGAAAGGGATAGAGAGCACGGTTGTCCTCCCCCATGCCTAGCACTACAGGTGCAATGGTGACTGGTGTCACAGTGTGAAAGAGTAGCTAGCGGGCCCTTTTCCTCTCTATCCTTTGTGTCCCTCCATATGCCTAACCACAGTCTGGCCCTTGACACTGTAAATAGCTCTGTTACATGGTGAGGCCTTTTCTTTCTGCCCGTGGGAGCTGGGGCATTGCTCTCGGTCCATCCCATCCCATTGCAAAGCAGTTATGGTGCATTACATTTTCCAGTGGGAGCCAACACTGTCTTTTAAAACAGCCACCTTCAGACAGGGACCT